TGTGTGTGTGTGTGTGTGTGTATGTATGTATATGTGTGTGCATGTATATGTATGTATGCATGTGTGTATATGTATGTATGCATGTATATGTGTGTATGTATATGTGTGTGTATTGCCCAGAAAACTGATCCTTTTCTTTTACTAAGCCCTCCCAGCCCATCCTTACCTCCCACAGTAAGTCATAGGATAAGGGAAACGGGCCCATCTGATCTCGTAGTGAGGGTTCACAGCAGTGAGACTCCCCTAAGTGTGCTGGTCACTCCTGATTTACACTAGTGAGCCAGATCAGGCCCCTCTGTCAGTCCAAACAGACCCAGGACTGTGATCAGATCGTGAGTAAATACAAAGCGCCTTCCTCCAGTGTCTTCTTGCTTCTAGTCATCCCAGTCAGTGAATTTCACGGAGTATGGAGGTTGGGAATGGCCTAGCTGAGAGTTGCATGCTGGTAAAGGCAAGTGTCTCATCTCTGACCCACAGCAGCAATGTCATGGAGAAGTGAGAACTCAGATAGAGCCAATAACGTGTCCAAAAATGTGTTTCATTCGGGAAAAGCATGATTCCTTTCTCCCTCCGAATACACCTATATGTATCGAGTACCTATTAAATCCCATTCACATGGCTTGTCTGTGAGCAAAGGGATGTGTATATTGTAGTTAACATAATTTCCCAGGCCACATCTGCTGATAGGTTTGGGGTTTGGGGTGGGGAGAGGTTAGAGGTTAACTTGTTTAAGTTGTAAAATGAGCTTTGTGTTAATAAGTATCACTCACATTAAGAAACTCGGATACCAGTCAGCTGGGAAGTGATCCTGTGTCGCAGTCAGGAGCTCTCTGCACCGTCCCAGCTCACCCATCCAGAAGTCTGAACAAGCCGATAGGCCTCATAGAAAACCTGACTTCCTGAAGCAAATTGAGGCACATAGAGTGAATGGCTTTTTAATCCCCTGTGGTCGTAAATATAATTGCTGTGTGAACATAAAGTTGACATAATGTTTCCTGCAGTCTAATTACTTCTGTTCTGATAGCCAGAGGCCAACTTGATTGCACTGGATGCCAAAAATC